CTCTAAAAAATAAATAAATAAATAAATAAATTACGATGAACTAATCAGCACTCATGTGCATAGGCAGAAGGAAGTAAAACTGGATAGAAATCAAGCAAGTGGAAGGGGGGCAGAAGGGATGGGTGAAATAACATCTAACAGATACAGTAAACATTCTCTGGGTGAAATACACATTTATAAATCTGACTCAAGCATTACAAATGCAATCTAGGTAACCAAAAACATGTGTACTGCATAATGTTCTGAAATAAAGGATAACGAAATGTATTGTGACTTAAAAAAAATAAAAGAACCTAATCAAACATGCTTCTTTTACTGAATAATATGTTTTAGATTTTTTTAAACATTTCTTCCCCCCTCAAAATCTAACATATGGTAATAGTGACTGAGATTGGGGGGCAATGCACTCCAACAATTATAATGAAAATAAATACAACCACAAAAAACAAAGTCTAGCCCAACCACTTATGAGTTTTAAGCTAGAAAACTAGAGTCAGGAATGTATGGACCTGGGACTGATGGCTCACCATTTAAATCAATCTTTGTTCCTACTGATGCTGCTCAATCAAAGATATCACATGGTATAATTTTAGAGAGGAAGAAACTGAAGCCAAGAGTTGAAATGAACAGGATTTAAACCAAGGCAATCTTACCCCTACATCTGTACTACTAATGCTGTGCTATATGCTCCTCATGCCTCTTACTACCAAGAACTTTTTCCTACCTGTGATGTGTTATGTGTCTGGCTACCTTCAACTTTGATCCAACATCAGAATTTTTTTTATGTTTAAAAATTACTTTTTATCTTTCACCATGTTATCACCTAAAGTGTACGTATGGAGAATATACTAAAGGACCCTTTCATTCTTTATAGTCTGAACTACTTAACAAATCAGAAATCTGTGTTCGGTATCCATTTTTCAACTTCACTAATGTAGCTATATATTTCTAAAAGACAACGCATAGTAAAACACAAAGTGTTTTAAAGAGTGAGTTGTTGGCAATGTTATGTCCCTCACAGTGTGATAAAGTACTGTGAGGATCTTAGTAGACTTTTAATGTAAATTTTAATTTTCTCTTTTGTAACAATGATAATTATTTGAAAAATATCTTTAAAAAATCAGCAAAGAAGTTATTTTATAAAAATACAAAAAAAAAAAAACCTCCAGCTACTTTACATTTGATAAAATATGCATCTTCATTAGATGATTTATTCAAACTTTGAGTCAGTTATGTCAGAAATTTCAGAGTGGTTAATCAGAAGCAGTAACTAGTTAGAAGCTAAGTTTCTATCTGGAAGGAATGGACTACTTCAGGGAGTACAGGTGGAGGATATTCATTTATGCTTTTTGCCTACTTTTAGTGGCTCGTATAAGGGAGGTTTGATGATTTCTATCTTCCCTTTCTACAAGTTCTAGGATCATTTAGCAACTAACATATATCATGACTATTTTGATATCTATATTTGTTATTACTATATAGATTCTTATGTTGAGCCCTCTGCCAGAAGAATATCCTTAAGAAAGCCTTTCTTGACATGCCAGTGTAGAAATCTAATCCTATCGGCAGAATGTTCCATAACACTTTGTTCTTAGTTGAATGGTGTCATTCAAAAATTCATGTCCACTCAGAACCTCAGAATGTGAGATTATTTGGATATAGAATATTTATCGATGTTATCTGGCTAAAATGAGGTCTTACTAAATTAGTATGGACCCTAATTTAATGATTTGTATCCTTATTAAAAAAAGAGAGAGAAAATTGGACACAGACACACACAGAAGATGAACATGTGAATGCAGAAGCAGACATTGAAATGATATATCTCTAAGTCAAAAAAACACCAATATTGCCGTCAGTTGCAAAATCTATAAAGACATAAGGAAAGATCCTCCAAGAGAGCCTTCAGAGAAAGCTTGGTCTTACCAACACCTTTATTTTGAACTTCAAGACTCAAAACTAAGAGAGAGAATAAATTTCATCTGTTTTGTGACAATCAGTTAGTTGCACTTTGCTGCAGCAGCAGCCCTAAGGAAATAATACACAGACAGAGTGTATACATCCATAAAGTGCTCTGGTCATTTCTTGACAAGGTCTATATTATTCTCCCATTTTTGATATCTACTTATAGCTATTTTACAGTCTTTAATTATATTCTAGTATCCCATTTTAATTACTATAGATTTATAAATCTCATTTCTTTTTCTGCTCTGCCTGTTTCTCAGGCATCATTTGACTTGACATTGCAGTTATAACTATACATTTCTGGAAAGAAGACTTAAAACATTTCTCAAAACTTTCTGTTTTTTTAAGAGTGATTTTGTCACCTTTGCTTATCTCTGCCTATTTTTCAGAAAACTATGCAATGAAACTACTGTATACCATGGAAAGAACCTCTCAAAAAGAGATAGTGTTGGGCTTTCGCAAAGGGCTTTTTCCCACCAGCCGCACTGGCAAATCTCCTGACAGATCATCGGAATGATATACAAGAAGGTCTTGTCTGACAAAGGAGTAAAATAGTCTTCAGTCTAGGAAGACTGAAGACTATTCTGATCTTGCCTAATAGCTCTTAAAAGTAAGACCTGAGAGGAGCAAGCTGTTTACTGATTACTTTAGAAAGAGCTGGTCCAGCTATCAGACTTCAAGTCTTCCAGGTGAAGTTCCAAACCCAGAGGAAAGCAAGTTGTTTCCTCTGTCCCTCTTCTGAATCCCAAACATTGGAATTTACTAGATAAAAAGAGCAACTAATGTTGTTTCAGCAATTAATGCTAAAATCTTAAAGTCTGGGGGGAATTTCTTGCTCATTTACAGATTATTCGTGCAACTTCATGTTAAGTTCATAAGTCTTCAAGTTGTTAAAGGCAGCACCTAAGGAACTTCCCCTAGACATAATTGTAGATTACAAGATATCAGATTTTAAGCCTTAAAATTTTTGAATGAGATTTTGGATAGTCTTTGGAAGGGCATGTTTTAAATACGGGAGGAACATGAATCATTTGGATCAGAATGTGACAGAATTTTGCTGCAATGACCAGAAGGAGGCCAGAAGAAATTAGCCAGCTACTCACCAGCAAGCTTTATTATAGGTTTTTGGTTAAGATTGACTGAAGGGGAAAGATGAGAGAAACGAAGTTTCCACCGCGGTCTTCTTCCAACAGGCTTCTAGGGCCGATTGTCTCAACTGGGCAGACCACGCCCAAGCCCCCAGCGTGAGCCACTGCCCCTCCCAAAGGGGACAACGCCCTTCCGGGGCACCTGCCGTTCAGAGGCTGGAACTTGGCGCGAGGGTCCCCTCGGAGACTGGCGCACTGGCCATTCTCGGTCGGGTTGGGAAGACCAAGCAGGGGTGGGAGGGAAAAAAAGAGGGGAGGGCAGAGAGAGGGAAGAGAGAGGGCAGAGGGGCCCGAGCCAGCCATGGAGCTGTACCTCAGCGCCTGCTCCAAGGCTGCCAATGTTGCCAACACCAAAACGACCACCAGTGGCCCGTCCACGGACAGCCAGCAGTGTGGAGATGTGAGTGGTCACAAGGATGGTGGGGAGGTGGGGGCTGGGCTTGGTACACAAGGGCCAAGCGGTTCTTAACTGTCCAGCTTCTGGTCTCCTCTACTGCGCACCCATGGGAGCTGCTTGGGTGTGCTGGCCTCAACTGCTGGGGCGGACATGGACAGCTGGTGACCTGGGCAGTGGGGAGGACTTCAGAGTGTCTGAAAGGGCAGGCCCCTTGGACCCTGATCCTGATTATTCCATGTCTTTCCTTGGAGTGGGAGTGGATTGGCCTGAAGTAAACAAGTGCCATGTAAAAGGAAAGGCCAACCTCTCCGGCTCTTTTCACCTCTGTATCCCACACTGTTCTCACTACTTTTTGCATGTGACAGGGCCCTCATAGAGCCCACTTCATGGGGGTTGGACCAGCTCAGCTACTGGACCTGCCTCTGGGAGTCAAGCTGCCTATGATCCCAGGAAGTGATACTGTCTACTTTACTACGAAGTTAAGTGAAAAGGTAAACTGCTGTTGTCTTACATTCATTTTCTTTACCTTTTACTACTTGTGAAATCCAGAGCCCACATTATGCAAAGCCCATTAAGGGAATTTGCTCTAATATTCAGAGGAAAACAATAGTCCAATCCATGCCTAACTGAAGGTATTGTTTAGAATGCATATGAAGCAATTTCATCTAACGTATTAGATTTGGACAGACTTGTGGGCCAGAAAGTAGTTCTTAGTCCTTTAATTTACAGTTTGTGGAAGCCAATTAACATTGTTTTGAATAAAACTTTATATATACCTATTTAGTGCGTTTTGGTTGCTTACAAACATGTTTGAAAGGTAAAAGATTATCATTACTGACTGCCATTTAATTATGTGTTATTTTAATCAGTAGTAACTTGTACTAAACTCTGTTTAGAGATACCTTTCTATGATTTTGTTATAAGTTGAATTCTACTCACAGGGTGAGGAGAAAAAGTGCAGTTTAGAAATGTAGAGTTAAAATGAGTTAATGTATTTAGTACTTTAACCTCATTTTGAAGAAAGAAGGCCCTGGCTCAATGAGGAGATAGCATGATTTTCCCCAGCCTCTTCATCCAGAAGCCTCAGCTTCTTCCAGCTAATGTCTTTTATATATACCCACCCATGCGTACCATGCCAGGACTGTCTGTGCTTTTGTGTGTGTCGCTCCTAAACCTGGCATACCCTGTCTTCTTCAATCTATGAATTTCAGTCATCCTTCAGGATTCCTTCTGAATTATTATAGCCCCCTTCCCAATTAGCTTATCTTCTCTTAGAATTCACATTACCTTTCATTTGTATGATCTCACTCAACACTTAATCCAACTGGATTATAGTGTGTTCTTCCCTTTTTATGTTTTTAGTCCTCAGTGCTACCCTAAGCCCCAAATCACCCTAGCTCTTGACTAAGTAGCCAACTCTGAGGAGGTTTAGTATGCTGTTGTTGAGTGGTTGCTTGGACATACACATATTGCAAAAAGTTCTACAAGAAGGAATTCTAAGTGACACATTTACTCTTCTACTGTCTATGATGTCATCAATGAGTAGGATCCCTTGGTATCTGATACTTGCCTAATGTCTTAGTCAGCTTAGGCTGTTATAACAAAGTACCATAGAC